GCAGTCACTTCTCATTTTTCTGTATAAATCACTAACAAGAGGATCCCGCGGGTATCCCGTCCGTTCTCCATGACATGACTGTCTGTAATAATGGACGTGTGCAAGAGAAAATGAGTGAACTAAGAGAAGGAATCCCCGTGCCCCATCATGTGCACACTTTGATGCTATTTTTAAAATCATTGATGCTATTTTTAACTCGTTACCATGCCTGCGCGATAATTATGCTTCCCTTTAATGCCTCGTTTTTGAACACGAAAAGCGCCATATTTCGTTTCGTCCACGACAAAATCACAGGCTKTTGTTTACTGCAAGACTGGAAGCCGCCTACCCTCAAGAAATCAACCAATCAGGTTCTTCGCTCAAAATATCTCCAAGCTAAAAATAGCATCAAACTGTGCACATGATGGTTACAAGGCTATATAGGTAGGATTCCTTCTCTTAGTTCATGTTCTCTTGACGTGTGTCATTGACATATGATACGTACCATATTTGAAACTTTTTTCTTTACGTGATTTTCATTTACGGGTATAGTTCCTAGATTATCTTGGTTAGTAGCTGCTTCAATTCCAGCGGCTAGCTGTACTGAATATGATATTTATATAGTACATATACGATTTTACTATTTACATTATCCTTGTAGTCGTGTCCCTCTAAACTTAATCAAAATAACGGAATCCCCCCCCCCCCCAACTTCCATGCGCTGATAAATAAAAGCCCGCTAAAAACTTAAAAAGTTAAAAAAATTCTGCTTAAAAAATCTTTAAAATTACACAAAGAGTTAATAACTAAGAACTATCTAAAACCACGAAAAATTCGGGTCTACAATGGATTGTAATTACAGTAGAACCTCTATTTAGCGGCCACCTCGCGCTCAGAATTCTCAAGTGGCCCGCGCTGTAGACAGCGGCAGTGGTTCGACGACGAGCGATAGCCGGTGACATTGATCACCAAGTTGAATTGCCTATCGCCAAATATCAAGGCGTTTAGTCCAAAATGCCATATTGCGACCACAATGGTGAATGATGTTTTTGGAAGTATAAAAAGTTTTTGTTTGGAAAGCGATTACGAGATCAGGGGGCATTCTGTGTAGGTTAAGTAACATATCATGTGAGTATCAGAGAAGCCATCATAGTTTGCTTTACCACTGCATGCACACCAGTAAACGTTCTTACCATTATCTACAGTCTGATGTTGTTGTACTGTATCTGCTATATTCGAAGAACACGAGTAGTGCAGAATCTTTTTCCCCTGTAAGGAAAAGGAATGTCAGTCATCGACAAAACAAAATAACAGTCATTATGCACAACAAAAAATAGGGCTTAAAAAAT